GAGAGCAATAAGATGGTTAATTCACTGCCTATGTCAAATATATTTATTTCTTTTCTTTCACTGCAAACCAAGTTTTTAACACTATTGTTGTTATGTGCTGTCAAGTTGCTTCTGGTGAACATAGTAGGGTTTTGTGGTATGTAAGATGCTCAAATGGTTTACCATTGCAATCCCTAGTGAGTTTCTGGATTTGAATCCACATCTAACACTCTTATCTGCTATACCACATGGGCTCTTTGAATACTATGAATAGCTGCAAAACCTGTGTCATTTAAGGCCCTTTTAAGAGAGAGAAGAAATGTACATATTGTTAAAAAAAAAACACACACACACAACCCTATGGCAGCATTTTCATAGTGGGACAAAAATGAACAGACCTGGAATCTTCCAGACCTGGAATCTAAATAGAAACTACATAAATATTCCAGTTTACCATTGCAGGCAAATATATTATAGAACAGGTTCACTGAAAAGGAGTATATGTATACATATGGACTTCCTGAGCCTTAAACTTGCGTTTGTAAATCTGGTCCATCAGTATGTACATATTGCCGTGTCTCATGTCTCTGCCATTTAGATCTGTCTCAACTTGCTATGCACTTGGATGCATTCAAGAATCTTACATGGGTCCACATCCTACCATGAATTTAGCCTTTCACAAATTCAAGTGAAAGCCTACAGCAGATAGCTGTAGGAGTGTAGAGTGGGAAAAGCCTGTTGGTCTACCATAGTTTGGCCTGCCCATGCTTAATTTATTTATTATTAATGTATTACTTTAATTTGTATACTGCTCCCATTAGTGCTGAAGCACTAACTGCTCTGAGCAGTTTACAATAAAATACACAATCAGAGTCGGAAATATAATAAAAGTAGTGTAACCATCTCATCCGATAAAAACAGAAGCCATCAGAGCAATGATGGAACTAAACATGAAATAAGAATAGAAGTAAAAAGACCAGTAATCAGATGGAAGTGTACAATCAACTCAACTCAACTAGAGTTAGAGTGGAAAGCCTCCCTGAAAAGCCATGTCTTCAGCTACCTTACATATCAAAAGGGAGGAGGGCAAACAAAGCTCCTTTGAGAGCTGGTTCCCCAAGCCTGGAGCCACCATGAAGAAGGCCCTGCCTTTAACAGCTGCCTTTTATGGGCCTCCCTCAGGGTGGCTACTCTCATTACACTACAGTTATGCATGGATTAAAACAGGGCTCAAAATGGAAGAGCAACAAAGAAGTGACATGGCTTCAAAGTAGGAGGCTGAGAACAAAAAAGGAACTAGTACCATTATGTGGATGTAGAAAGACGTGGGTTACCTCTCTGGTAGACAGTGGGATTTAAGCCCATTCCAATGCACTTTGAGTACTTCACTAAAGTTTCATGGAACAGACTTTAGGGTCATGGTCCAACAAAGTTAGTTTTTAATCTTATAAAAAATGTTTTTAGGAGTACAGTTTAAAAGAGAAAGCCACCTTAAGGCTTATGCATAGGCCCAGGATTATTCTGCACTAAGAAAATGGTTTCAGAATGGATTTTATTGGGTAAGGTTAGTTTTCAGTTCCCAAAGAGTCAATATAGATATGTAAGAAAGGAAGTCCAATTTTCTATAAATAGCGCCATACCCACAATACCTCACTAAGAAGTAATTTGCTATTTGTATGCAGCAAAACATTTGCTTTTGTAATTTCAAAGAGTCAGTAAAAGAACACTAATTAACTTCTTTGTGTGTGTGTTTTGACAACTTAGAAATAAAATGCAAACAGAAATGGATATTTGGATACAAAAGAGAACATACGTCAGTAAAATTATTGTTTTTGAATGCTGTCCAATTAATTACAAGTATCTTTCACTGCAACCTCCTATCTGTAAAATGTCATTATAACACTCCAGTGTTGGAATAACAACACAAATGTGTTTGTTCCTTATTTGAAATAAAGCTTTTGTAAACACATTTATGTGATTAATCATAAACTTCCCATGTGTAAAACTTCAGCAGGGATAAAACGTGTTGGTTGCAGTGAATCAATAGAACTGCACAGTGTAGCTTATACAGAAAGACAATTTTCACTCTTTATGGTGCAGATCATTTTTCACAATAATACTGGCAGGTCTTATAGCCAATGAGCTAAAGAAAATCTTAATGTGCACATCTAACATAATATTGCTAACAGAGAAGAAAAGCAGTCAGATCTAGATTTTATTTTCAAACTCCATGGTGGTAGACAGGACAGGAGGTTCTTACAGTATCTTTATAGGGGTTTGAGCACTCTGTTGTTTAATATTCTGCTTAGTAAGCTATGGTTAAATCAGGAAAAAGTAAGCTAAAAATAAAGTGAGAAACTGCAATTTGAACAAACCATAAGAAAACCTTCAAAACTAGCATACAAAAGGACGAGAGGAAGGGCGAGAGAGATCATGCCAACATAACTTAATGTGCTATCATGTTGGAACTGGCTTATAACAACCCTAACAGGGATATGTAAGTGAGATACTTAAGGAATGGTTTTGCCAGATCCACTCCCCCAGTGATTTTCCATGGGCAAGTGGGAATTCAAACCCCAGTTCTCCAGAGTCCTAATCTGTCACTCTATCCACTACATCAGTGGTCCCCAACCTTGGGCCTCCAGATGTTCTTGGACTACAACTCCCAAAAGCCTTCACCATCACCTCTGCCAGCCAGGATTTCTGGTAGTTGAAGTCCAAGAACATCTGGAGGCCCAAGGCTGGGGACCAGTGCACTACATCACATAGGGTGCTGGTCAAACCCATGCACTCTGAATATTCCAGGGGATTCCAGATTCTATTTTAATATGCAGAATTACATTTAAAATGTACATCAAAGGTCTACCATATTCCTTACTCAACACCTGAATGACGTCTAAAGTGAAGACTCTAGGGAATCTGTTTAAATAGATCAAAAGGAAATTAAACTAAAGGAAGGAAAATATGTCTTGGACAGCATAGCAAACAGTGCTATTTTAAAAATTTAAAAAACCAGAAACAAAATCCTGCCACATAAAGAAGTTTTAAACCATTATTATTTATAGAACTACTGAGCTTTTCTATTTTTCTTTAACAGGGCTTTTGTATTATAAGTACATGGCAGCCTAGTTACTGGTGCCAAAATATTATACAGAATTTCAATTTCAAAACCATTTATTGGATCCTTTAAGATTTGGGCCAGAAATAGAAGCAAACATTCTTCTTCTCTGCATTATGACAAGAGTTCTGGTGAACAATTATAGATACTGGGATTTAGGTGTGTTAAGAGAAATAAAGTATGTCTTGTATTTAGATATATTATTTTAAATGGAACAATACAATTTGGTTTTTTTTTCAGAGCAGAAGTATCAGACAGAAACAAAGACCTCTTTGGTGGATAATCAGAAAGGGATTGTGAGCCTTGAAAATATCCATGTTTCTTTCCTTTCATTAATATACCTCCCCCTGCCACTCTGCCTGATCATATGTGTAGTTTTTAGCAACCACAAAAGACAGATGGAAACAAAAGATAATATATATTTCAAAGGAGCAGCCAAATTAAATTGTAGCAGTCAAAACAACAAGAGGGTCCAGTCCTGTGGCTCTTGAGAGATAATATGTGTATTAAAAATAAACTTTTACAGATGATAAATCACTTCATTTGATGAAATCTTACACAGAAATTCAGGCATATACAAATTGGCAGTAACAGGCAGTACAACTGAATGCAGAAATTCTGTAAGTGCTTTAAGAAAGATATTTCATGGAACTAGAAAAGATCAAGTGTAAGGATGTGTCACTGGAGATAAAGACCAAATTAATCCACACCCTTTTATTCCTGATCATCACATACAATACGGGTGTGAAAGCTGGCCAAAATAATCCACACTCTTTTATTCCATCACATACAATACGGGTGTGAAAGCTGGACAGTAAAGAAAGCTGAATGGGGGGAAATTGATTTGTTTGAAATATAATGCTTGGGGAGAGCTTTGTGGATGCCCTGGACTGCTGGAAAGATGAACAAGTGAGTCCTAGAGCAAATCAAGTCTGAATTATCTCCAGAAGCAAAAATGTTCATACTGAGGCTGTCCTACTTTGGACATATTATAAGAAGGCTGGATTCTTTGGAAAAGACAATAATGCTGTGAAAGGCTGAAGGCAGCAGGAAAAGAGAAAGACCAAATATGGGATAGATTGACATCCTAAAGGAAATCAAAGGCTTGAATTTGCAAGAGCTGAGCAGAGCAGTTCAAGACAGGACATTTCAAACAGTGCTCAATTATAAGGTTGCCATAAGTCAGAGAGAACTTGATGACTTACAACAACTCAAACTACAAGAAAAATTGAAACAAAGTATTCCAACATCCTGAATAATTATCTTTTTTTCTGGTATGAGGTTTTATGAATTACAATTATGATCCATAAAAGCTCCCACTGTAATAGATTTTTTAATTTTAAAGTTGACACAAGACATGTGTTTTTGTTTCGGTTTTGCTATTTACGTACATACTAGATCATTGCAAATAATAAGATATTTAATACATTTTGAAATCCAATGTATATTCTAGTCAGCCTAGGTTATGACATGTTAAAAGCAAAATAAAGCACTACTTAATGTCTGACATGAAATCATTCTTAGCTGAAAAAGATGCTTCAATGTTGAACCTCCACAACTCAGCTCCAATTATGCCCCCCAAAGGCTCATAATAATCCTGAGGAAGCAGATGTTAATTTACATAAACATGAGCCCTGTGACAGAGTGTTTAAACTGCAGTACTGCAGTCAAATTCCTGCCCATGAACTGAGTTTAATCCCAATGGATTCTAGTAGCCAGTTCAAGGTTGATTCAGCCTTCCATCCCTTCAACGGTATGTAAAATAATTATCCAGGTTGCTGGGGGGCCAAAGTGTTATTTACATAATTATGCTATCAACCACCCAGAGTATGCTTTAGCACTATGGGACGGTGTCTAAGTCAAAACAACGACAACAACGTAAATATAAGAGATAATTACTTACTATCACCCTGGCAAAGTAACGGCCCCAATTTGTAAGCTGCTTCTGAATTTGGTCGATCTGTATCAGTGATGAAGAGTCCTGTTACTGGCAGGTGTTCTTTATAGGACAAGAGTCCTGAATCATTAGTCCTAGAACATGAGAAGAAACAAAATTTCGTATAGTGCCCTCAGACACAATTGTTTGTGAGACCTGTGATACAATGCGCAGTCCTTACCATATCCACGTTATTCACCCGAGCATTATGAACTGATTATGTTTATATGAGGTAGGAGGACATTACATCTGCTGTGTTTAGAGAAACACATAGACATACTGTATGGACATTCACATGATTGAAAAAAAAGGTATGAAGCTTGTAAAATAAAAATCTTTTTACTTGTTTGCTATTGCCCTTTTTATGCTTAACAGTTTCCTTCTCCTGCCCTTTGAACATTTCATGGAATCTAGTAATTTTTCATTGTAAGGAGAAGTTTAGTTCTTGCTATCTGCTTCAGACTGTCTTTTCCCACTTGACTGGGGTCATAGGGAGGGATCTTGAGTGGTCTGACTGATTACCAGATCACTTTGGGTCTTGCTTTCTGTCTTTGTTTCTGTTTTTGTATTATTTAAAATGATAACTCCCAGAACACCCCATGCTAGCTTAAATATTCTGTTACAATGACATTTTGCCTGTTTTTGGACCTTAAGCCAGTCAACCCAGAACTGATTGACTGCTTCAGTTTATGTCTCTGATAAATCAGTATATACCGTATCTGACAAAAGACACAAATTTTCCTTCCAACAGAAACCATTTGGATATAATGATATGGCTGAGAAAATGGCATGGCTATCTTACTGGCAGAATGCAGCAATAACTTGAAATGACTGCTGATGAAGGTGAAAGAAGGAAGCACAAAAACCTGTACTATAGTTGAATATTAAGAAGCCAACTATCATGTCTGCAGAAGAACTGTGCAACTACACAAAAACCTTGACTGTGTGGACCACAACCCACTATGGCAAGTTCTTAAAGAAATGGGAGTGCCTGACCACCTTCTCTATCTCCTGAGAAATCTATATTTGGGACAGGAAGCAACAGTTACAACTGGATATGGAACAACTGATTGGTTCAAAATTGGGAAAGGAGTATGACAAGGCTGTATATTGTCCCCCTCCTTATTTAACTTATATGCAGAATAAAACCATGCAAAAGGCTAGACTGGAGGAATCCCAAACTGGAATTAAGATTGCCGGAAGAAATATCAACAACCTGAGATACGCAGATGATATCATTCTGATGGCAGAATGTGAGGAGGAATTAAAGAATCTCTTAGTGAGGGTGAAAGAGGAGAATGCCAAGAATGGTCTGAAGCTCAACATCAAAAAAACTAAGATCATGGCCACGGGTCCTATCACCTCCTGGCAAATAGAAGGGGAAGATATGGAGGCAGTGACGGATTTTACTTTCTTGGGCTCCATGATCACTGCAAATGGTGACAGCAGCCATGAAATTAAAAGACACCTGCTTCTTGGGAGGAAAGAGATGACAAACCTAGACAGCATCTTAAAAAGCAGAGACATCACCTTGCCGACAAAGGTCTGCATAGTCAAAGCTATGGTTTTTCCAGTCGCAATGTATGGAAGTGAGAGCTGGACCATAAAGAAGGCTGACTGCCGAAGAATTGATGCTTTTGAATTGTGGTGCTGGAGGAGACTCCTGAGAGTCCCCTGGACTGCAAGGAGAACAAACCTATCCTTTCTGAAGGAAATCAACCTTGAGTGCTCATTGGAAAGACAGATCCTGAAGCTGAGGCTCCAATACTTTGGCCATCTGATGAGATGGTCCATGGGGTCACAAAGAGTCGGACATGACTTAATGACTAAACAACAATAACAATATTGATAATGAAAACATTCAAATTTTAAAACATTTCTATTCCTTCATTCAGTCATCAATCCAAATGTGGGCAACAGTCAAGAAATTAGTAAAAGACTGAGACTTGGAAAGGCAGCTATGAAAAAAGTAGTAAAGAACGTCAAGTGAAAGAATTTGTCAATGGGGGCTAAGGAGATAATCATCTACACTATGGTATTCCCAATTACTGGATACAGACTTAAAAGCTCTAGTGAAGAAAAGTGAAGAAATCTGAAAGGAAAAAAAATGATTAATTTGAAATGTGGTGTTGGTGTTAGTTTTGCAGATACCATGGACAAGCAGAAACACACAAATTGGTCCTAGATGAAATTATGCTGAACTCTGTCTAGAAGTATTTTGGGCACATCATGAGAAGAGGAAATTTACTGGCAAAGACAATAACACTGGGGAAATTTGAAGGCTGCAGGAAAGGAATAAAGCCAAATTAGAAGCACGTTTAATCCATAAGGGAACCACAGCCTTGACTTTGTAAGAGCTGAGCTGGGATGCTGGTGATAGGACATTTTGGAGTACACTATTTCATAAATTGGAAGCAACTTGACAACACGAGCAGCAACGGTAGCACCATTTAAGAAAATTATATATATCGAGGTCATGTTTTTTAAAGTTGTGTGCCTAGGGTTATTCTACGCAGAAAGAGGGAAAAAAACTGCAGCTGTAACTATAACATACAGTGGGGTCTTGACTTAAGAATGCAGAAAGAGGAAAAAAATTGCAGCTGTAACTATAACATAACTTGAGACTCAATTCTTAAAAAAACAAAAAACAAAAAACAACCAACCTCCAAACACTGAAATTTAAGGTTTTCAGCCCCAATGTTTTAAAAGAAGTTGCTTATAGAAACCTCTACTGTTTAATCTGAACTCAAAACAATCATGTGCAAATAGCTTCTTAAAGTTCCCCACCAAGAAAATACAGAGACCATTTCACCAAATTCCTGCAGGGGGAGAAGAAATTCTCGAACAGCTTCACAAGCTTCAATTTAGTTGTTGAAGCAGTGTAGGCTCTTTCTTTCTCCTAAGGCTTGTTTTAGGCAAGGGAAGAAATGGTGCTACCACAGAAAGTGATGAATACCCAGAGACATTTCTGCAAAAGAGATAAGCCCTACCCCCCTGAAATTAGATACTAAGTAACACCTCAATGTCTTCTGAAATAAGTTTCAGAACGGGAAACTTTGACTTATCCTACAGAAATCTGTTATGCTAGTTTCCTCAAACAACATTTATCAGAAAGCAGATAGATATCTTCAAGTAGTTCTACCTACCAGAAAACAGGAAAACATATTTTAACATTTAACCTTTAACTGTGTGTGAACAAACAAAGTGAAAAATAAAATTACCATTCATTTCTGTCAGCATCACAGTTGCAGTCGTGCTGAGAATCAATGCAGCTTCCTTGCATTCCACAAGCACATTTCTGAACATCTGGTGCAGAACCTCCCCAGTAAGTTTGAGTCTCATTGATTTTTCCAATCCACCAGCTGAATGGAATTCCATCTAAAAAGCAAGACCGACAATACACATGCTGATGCTTTTGAATATGGGAAACAGCATGACCCAGAGATGTCCTTCAAGCAACCGTATTTACTAAAACCTCACAGAATTCCGGGGAACATCTGACTTTAAAGAAATGAAAAAAATAAATGGCCTAGGATCACTAGAGTCGATACAGATCCCTCCTGTTTTTCCTAGCTTTTGCTTGAAACTGAAAGCATACCCTTGAATTTCTTCAAAGTATACTAGTCCTGCAGTTTCTTGGCTTGGCTCTCCAACGCTCAATGCACGACACGTTTCCTGTTGTACCTGTGCTGCTTCACCTCAAGACAACCTAGATAGACAGCTCAAGAAAAGTTTTGAAATGTGATTGTTTTTAAGTAAAATTAGCCCTGCTTCTTTAAAATGCTAACAGATTTTTCATTTTAGCAGTTCATTATTATGAACTAACTTACCGTCAAGGTTTCTGCCCACATTACTGGAAAAAGAGAACTGGTAGTCCCTAAACCAGTCAGGCATAATATTACAATCATTTATCTTTAGCAGACCACTTATGCAATCTCCTTCACGATACATTATGAAAAAGAGAGAGAGAAAAAGATGCTCTCCCCCCAAAAATTCTACATCATTTGTTTTATGAAGTGAAGATCAATAGAAGATCAAGGATCCACTAGTGAGGAAATTAGAAGACTCCTTATCTGAGAAAGAGCACAAGAGTAATAACCACAACATTAGTAGTAATAATAGCTATAATAATCATTAAGACTTTTACACCCACACACAAATAAACACACTGAGCATCTGAAATGGTCTTGTGTTTGGAGAAATGGAGATGCTATGGGTAATATTGAGCAGTAAATTATATATCATCCACAAAGATGCAGTCACAAGAACAACAGGGGTTCACAATTGTTCTGCTGTAGCCAATGACAAGAAGCTAACTTCCCAGGGCCACTTTTTGTCTTCACTCCAGTTTCCAGTAAGAATGAGAGAGACAGACATCGCCTGAATTCTACAGGACTTTACATTAAGGCAAAAGATGCTGCCTGCTAAACAGAGCAGCAAATGCACAAAATATACTGAGAAGAGGTAATTATTAAAGGATTTGAAGCATGACGATAATCCATCTTAAAGGAGAAGGAAAGAAGGTGAACTCTGCAGTTGAATGCAAAACCGAAGCCACAAGGGTAAAACAATGCTCAGTTAAATTGTAGCACAACACACCGGGGGTGGGTGGAATCTGCTTTTGTTCGCTACATAAATTCAAGCTTTCCACAACGACCCCCCACCAAGCAACCGAAACTTTGGCTTCCCTTATCTATGCTAACAACTGTCAGTGCTTATTACAGCTCACTGTTAGACAAGCCCTCTGCTACCCTAGCCGTCTCCCAGCTTGCAACATATTGACTCTTTCACAGACTATACGACTGTCAGCCCAGCAGGTCTTGAAAACAGAGAGGAACAGATCCAAGAGAGAAAGGAAATGGGAAGATATGTCATAGCATGGATATGCACTCTTTCAAGGGTTGTGCTTGGCAATGTATCATGGGGTGGGATTAGCCCTTGAAAGAGGTCTACACTATTTATTAAAGATGATCATGTTTAGTCCATGAAAGAGGTCTACACAATTTACCAAAGATCTCATTTTAAAATCCTACATATACAATCCTGCACACATATAGAATATGCCATAATATAGCGGCTGAGCATGCATGACCACTGATGTACACACTGATCTTTTCCATCTTCTTCTGTGCATTGGGAGAAAGCTTGGAAAAATATAAGGGAAAGAGGATATTTGAAATATTTAGATATCACACTGTGACTCTGGATCTCGTCCTCTGAAATCAAGGAAGTGCTGTGGGCAAAAAAGGTTCATCACCTGACCTCATGACTGCCCATTAAACTCACTATTACACTAATGAAACTCTGAATGTGTAGTAGATATCCTGAAGGATTTTCCTTTTTCTTTCATGTACCTGTGCTAGAGATTTGTACAATGAAAATTTTCAAATGGATTTCATTTTGGATTCTTTGGGAGGTGTCTCATTTTTTTGTCTTTTTCATGTATTGGTTCTTGGTTCTTCCGTTTTACATGAAAGGAAAGAGCTCTTTCAGCTCATTTATTTTGTGCTTCTCTCTTTTTTTTTGGCACTCCACAAATCCTAAAGAACTGTTAAAAACGGCTCTCAAAAAGCAGAGGCAATGCAAAAGAGAATCAATCTACTCCAGAAGTAGGCAACAATACACAAGAAGGAAAAAATTAGTGGAGGGGGGAATAGACAGTAAAGTGCCTGAACATTAGAAAAGGGGGGAAAGACTAGTATGAGTTCAGTGCAATCCACCCAGCATACTAGAAAAAAGGCAAAGAAGCAGCTAAGCAGTCACATGCTAGTGGCCTGGCACACAAAGAGATATCTACACATCAGATCAACCAATAACAACACAACACGAGAAATGACAAGAGAGAAATGCCACAAATTGTACCTAACCAAAAGCACTAATTGCCCATATAGCCCAGTAGCATACTAACATGTCCACCTCTGACCCCACTACACAGAAGTAAACAAACCAGTCCCCTCCAAAACCACTCCAAAATGTGCACCTTCAATAGAATAATGGTGAAGTGAAGAAATAACAATGTTGAAAAATCAAACACAGAAAACCTCCCCCCTCCAAAAAAAAACACACCACACAGAAAAAATAATCAAATTAAACACACATAGCTCCCTCTCCTAAAAACCAAGGGAAACAAAACCCAAAGAGGAAGAAAGGAAGGAAGGAAGGAAGGAAGGAAGACAAGTACATGGGAACAAACAAAAATATCAGAGCTCCCCCACCCAAATAAAACTCCTAGAATACTACAAGATTTCTATTCCCCTAGCATCTAATACTTTATCTTCTCTCCAAGAGGCAGAAGCTGACAGCAGTAAGTAGGCCAGGTACAAGCACCAAAAATAATTGAAATAAAGTGTGGAGGGGGCGTAAAAAAGGATTCAAGATGTAAGCACGGTGGTGAGTAGTATAGTTCGGGGATGGAGAACTCCAAGAGCTAGCACATACAAAAATGACCGAAGCAAAGAACTCTCTTCACTGGGTTCCAAACAGTGCTGGTCCTTCTACAAATTCAAAATTCTCTTCCTTTCTCCTGAATGCTCTGACTGGGTACTAGCAGGAGCATTCACAATACTATGGGGTGAAAAATTTCTCAGGTTATTTGACAAAGGGGAAAAGAAAGGTTACACAAATGAGGGAACACAAGAAACACAGAACTTTGTTGTGGCCTTCTTTTGTAAATATGAATTATCAACAACAACCTAGAATTATAGAGCTTGAAGGGACCCTATGGATCATTGTGTCCAGCCCCTGTCAGGAAGAACAGTGAGGAATTGAACTCCAACCTCTGGCTCCATGGCCAGATACTCAAACCACTGAGCTGTCTGATAATGTACTGTTAGAGCCTTATCTGCTATCCATATTTCATCATTCATGTTTCAAAGTCTCTCATTCAGCAATTAATGAATGGACATGAAATATGAAAAGGAGAGTCACTTTTGTATTGTGGGTTCTTTCACTAAAACACATGAATAGGAAATATGCAAATCTGACCATTGTTAATCTGTTTTTTGCCCAGTGAGCACTCAACAACTAGTGAATAAGTGTTAGGTTAGGTAGATCTATTTTCCTGATGGTTTCAGCACAATGAAAATTAACTTTTGAGCAAGTTAACTGTTGATTGAGCAAAATACCAGCAAAAGGGATAGATCAGAATTGGCTGTAACTGACCTATTTCAACATTAAGGGACATGTGAATTGGCAAATAGTGCATGCATTTCTAATTCTTACATTCTCAGACCTCTACGGAGTTTTCACACAAAAGAAAGATCCCATAAGACAAATAAGCCAAGTCTCCAAAATGTAATCCAATTTGCATGTTCATCAACCAAAGCCTTAAACTGTCCTCTGGAGGGAAGAAAGTAAGTCAGTGTTGCTGTTTTTTGGTATTAATCTGAAAACGTGGACTGGGTATCTTGTGTGACAATACACATCTGCAATGAACAAACTGTGCTACTTTAAGTTTAATGTCAATGTCATATAAAGACCTTTCAGCAAACACCAGAATGGAATCTCAA